TATTTTTGGAATAAAACAGCGACTTTGCACTATATTTTTGTATGGTATTTATTGTTGTATTCTAGTTTTCTTGGTCTCATTTTATAGAATGGAAGACATCTCACAGAAATTGAGATGATTTTGACTGGTTTTACAATGAAAAGTACCTTAAAATTGAGCTCTAAGTAGTAGAAACGTTCGATTTTTACCAAAGTTCAAAAGTAAACAAATCATGCTAAGCATTCAATACACGTCAACTGGTGAGTCTAATATTCTTTCACAAGTGCGCTGATATTATTTATACCATTTCTACACTAATGCAGCAGTCTGCATAACAGTAAATCTTCTATTTTTTGTAAGAATAAAAATTGAAAGTGGAAAGCCAAAGAAATATAAGAGGGGCCTGGGGATGTGACTAACGAACAGAAGAAATGTTATTTTAGTGCCAGGAATGTCTTTCTTGTTTATTCTGGACCCTATTTGGAAATTGGCATCTTTTGAAATTTGTGTGAAATTGGCAAAATTGCTAAATTCTGACCACTGTATTGGATAGTTGAAATCAGTAAATGGGTGGTTTCTTGTACTCATTCAATAAAAAAAATGGAGTTCTAGAGAAATAGTTATGATTTTTGTTGACTAGTACACTGGAATTGGCCGAAAATAAGGCTCAAAGTGGGCAAAATCGCCGATGCGTAAACATCGTTGAGACCGCTAACTTCGCGAGAGCATAATTCTGTAAGTTTTCCATCAAATTTCATACTTTTGGTGTCATTATGATTGGGAAAAGATTCTCTATCTTTTTATAAGATTTTTTTTTTTTTTTTAAATTTGGGCGACCCTGAGAACAAGTCTCGGAGAGTGCCCGTCGACCCTCAAAGGGTTAAAAGCCATACATGAAATTGAAAGAAATTCAAAATACTACTACTAATATGCAAAATCCAGTCAAAAATACATCTAGTATTTGGCCTTTGATTAAATAAGATGGTATTTTCACCGATGACAGCAAAATGAGTGAAATGCTTAAGTCCTGGTACATGTGAAAACCCAAATGAGTTCATAAATAAGACCCAAAATACTTCAGACTTCTTCCTGATCTCTGGTATACCTCTAACCCCACTTGACCTTGAAAACTTAATTGATTGCACGCGCATGCACTCTGCCCCTATGCCCGAACTCATGGAACTATATATTCATCAAGAATTGTAAGAAACTCCTATCACGTGCCTTAAATATTCTATGGAGAACCCTGGGCACTGGAGTCATCCCACAGCTATTAAAACCCACTGATATTGCCCCACTCCACAAAGGTGGTAATAAACATGTGAAAAAGGTGTATATCAATAGCCCTAACATTCCACGAAGGCCTTCAAAAGGGTTTTAAGAAGCATTGTTATTACTATTTGGATTCACAGCAGTTACATAACCCTTTCGCAACTACTGGACCATTATCACATGGACTTCGATGCACTCGAAGACAGGCAAAATGCAGTTGCAGTATTCACTGACTTTGCAAAAGCCTTTGGCAAGTGAGACCATGTGGTAAGTGCATGCAGAATGTGGTGCAAAAGGAATAACTGGGAAGGTGGGCAGACGGATATTTAACTCCTTAGCAAATAGAACCCAAAAAGTGATACGGTGAAGAGTTCTGTCCCTAAGGCATGTTACTTGCTCCACTTCTCATTTTCATTTGTGTCATAGAGCAGGACAAAATAATAGCACTGTATAATCCTTTGCAGACTATGCTAAAATTTGTATGAAAGAGGCGTCCATAGAAGAGACAGCGAGTATCCAAGCTGATATAAACCAAGTCTTCCAGTGAGGCGAAAGTTCAGTTACTACACCACAGAAGAACGCAGGAAATAAAAAATAAAATAGTTGTGTAAGACTTGAACCACCCAGTACGATACTCAAATCACTCAATAAAACGCAAGTCAAATGTGAGTAACAGTATCATTGATCAGTCCAGCAACCTGGTCTGGAATGGGACTGCGGGGTTGGTGACCTCTGGTAGTGACTCCAGGTAAAGTCCAGGTAAGGCCATCGTGCATGTGACAGCCAAAAAAAGTTGACGGGGTGGATTATGAGAATTTTCAAAACAAGGGAAATAATGCCGGTGGTGATACTCTTTGAATCGCTTATACTCTCTCATTTAGACGAGATGTCAGAGCTGACATGGACTCAGAGATCATTTACAACCTGCAGAGTCAATAATGCAATTATATTACTGGGAACACCTGAGAATCCTGAATATGTACTCGCTGGAGTGGAGAGCGACATGGTGATGAATATGGAAAGTACTTGAAGGTCAAGTCCCAAATCTGCACATTGCCCTAATTGTACTGCAATGTGAGGGAGAGATGGAAGTGTAAAATAAACGTGATGGAAAATCAGGGGCACCGTGGGCACAATAGAGAACATTGTTTCAGCATTTATGGTTCCAGACAATTACCCTTTCAGGTTCCAGAGGCCAAATTTCAAAGTGCGCACCAGTGTCCAAGAATTTAAAAAAAGAAATTATTTTTTCTTATGAAATGGTAGAGAATCTTTTTCTGAAGGTAATAAAACAAAAAGTACGAAATTTGATGGAAAATTGACGAAGTTATGCTCGCGAATTTTGATGTGTCAGCGATATTTATGAATCGGCGATTTTGCCGACTTTGACTCCCATTTTAGGTCAATTACATACATTACTCCAGTCGACCAAATTCTTAGCTATTTCACTAGTATTACTTCTCTTCTATCGATTGAGCACAATAAATCACCCAGTCAACTGTTTCAACTACAAAATAGTGATCGAAATTGGTAATTTGGCCAATTTAATGCAAAGTTCAAAATATTCCAATTTCAAAATAGGGTCCAGAATAAACAATGCAGGCATTCCTGACACTAAATTAACATTTCCTCTGTTCATTAGTTATGTTTTTCAGGCTTTTCAAATGAATTCCATTTTTATTTTTTATTCACATAATGAATTTTTATTCAAACCAAAAAATAGAAGATTTACCATTATGCAATATTGTAATAATTGTGTAAATATCATCACCACATTTGTGAATGTATATTAAACCCACCAGCTGGCATGTATTAACGTGTGAGGTAGTTTGTTTACTCTTGAACATCAACAAAAATTTAACATTTCTGCTACTTTGAGCTCAGTTTCAAGCCATTTCCAGTGCTAAAACCAATCAAAATCATCTCTTTCTGTAATATATTGTCCATTCTATCAAATGAGACCAAGAAATCGCAAATACAACTGTAAAAAACATAAGATAAAACACTGCAAAGTTGCTGTTTTAATCGAAAATCATGGTCTCGGTTTTCTTTTCTCTCATTATACACTGTGTGCTGCAGGATTTGTTTTATGTGGTGCACACATACCACTTAGATGTATTCTCTCATATCTAGGCCCAAATTTACCACTCACAGCTTATCAGAGTGAGCTGAGCTCATGGCGTAGATCTACGGTTTGGACCCTGAACGTAAAGCCATAGATCTACGGCACAGACCCTGAAAGGGTTAAACATCTGTGGTCCCAGACTATTCAGTATCTTATCAGAAGACATCAGAAACACTGCTTTGACAAGCGCAGGTCTTCAAGAAGAAACTGGACAAATATCTGTACCAAGTGCCAAATCATCCAGTCTATGATGGATATGTAGGCCAACGGGCCATCAGCAGCTACAACCTGGTTGACAGGCAGGCACCAGTTAAGCCTGGCCCAGGGCCAGGCTTCGGGAGTAGAAAAACTCTCGAAACTCATAAAAGGTGTACCAGAGTTGTACCTTGTATTGCAGGTCGTTGTAGGTTGGGGAGGGGGGTTGTCCTTTCATGTGCGAAACATATGGAAGACTAAGGCTGTGGGAAGTACGTACCACTGCTCCCATTCCCCTTCTCTTCCCCCCTACCTACAATGGTGTCGAGGTCAAACGGTCTGCTGCCTCCCTGTGTGTGTGTGTGTGGGGGGGGGGCGGGGTGATTGTAGGAACAGCAGTCACCCCTATATATCCCCTCCCCATCCAGGAACTGCTTCCTCATCCTCGCCCTTTACCCCCATCTCCGACTTCTACCATGCACTGGAACATTACTATTAGTAAGATGATTTCCCTTAACCCCTTCCATTCCTTAGTGATGCTAAATAATTGTCAGCTTTTGAGTTTAATTACTTATAATTGCTTATTTTTGAAGGTCAACTATGGTAATCTTTCTTATGTAATTGTTCATAAATGTTTTTAAAAGTCTGCAATAACTGTAGCTTGTACTACTGCCTGTTGGAACACATTACAGCTGTCAACCAGTGCTTGCTTGGAAGTACAAATTAATGTGTTGTCAGGACTGCCCCATGTTTCAAGATAACCATATTTATGTGGTTATCTTAACTCATTTGGAAGACTGAAGGCATTTCCATAACCTTCAGTCTTCCAAATTAATATTGCTTAAAGGTTTATACTAGTCAAGTTTTCTTCATCTACTTGTTCATGCAGAATCAAATTCTACCTCCTGAGCTTAACTCTTATTAGACCATTGTTCATGAGGCTTTTCAAGTATTGTGAACTGTCATAATTTCATAAAGAACATGATTTCTAAAATGTTACCCTTACATTATGTAATTTAAATTACTTGTGGTCAACTCAGCATAAATTTAGAAGACTTTAGATTAAAGTTGGCGTAACGTATCTACAACAAAGACAAGTGTTGCACACGTGTTTTATTCATCATCTTGATTTCTGCGCTGGCCTTGGCGGAATGTGGATGCATTACCCTACACCTGCCATGACCCTCAGGGACAAATTTTCCTTCTGGGGAATTGATTGGGGCACCATACAGCTGCTGTTAGGCCTAGGGAAAATCTGTTATTGATGACTCAGGATAGTGCGAGTGGGTGTCTGGCTCTGCCAGGGTTCAGGCAAAAGTGTCAACCTGACGTAATTGGAACATATTGTTGCTGTTTCTGTTTTTGGAGGAGACGGTGTTTCCTTTATTTTCAACCCAGATTTGACCACTACATTTTCCCCGGACACCAGGGAGGCAGGGCTCAATAGACCTGAAGCTTTAGTAGCCTTCATCAACCTCAAACATGCCTAGATTCGACCCCTGCAGTCACATGCAGGTGAGCACATTTAGTTTCATATTGTAGGAAATTATATGGAAATGTATGCTAACCTTGCCCAATCTAGTCTTCAATTTTTTTACTGAAAGCTTGTTCGTGAACAATGCTCGAACAGCCATTCTTGTTAAACTGGTTGCCTCAGCTGGAAGAAAGGTTCCTCTCAGACCAGTCACCCCCCCCCCCCCCATCCTCCACTACTACAGTTGAACGTTTCCTAGTGCTCCTCAGCAATTTCAATGAATTACTAAGTGTGTCGCATATTTTTCTTGATTTTTCTTTGAGTGGTGTACTACCTATAATGAAAATTTCTGATGGGGACACTAGAAAGCTACAGGCATGACCTGGATAAGTTGATGTGGATAGGTTGAGGTGGCACGAGTCAGTATGTACTTTAGTCCTGGTTGTGTTATATAAATTCTTCAATGCTTTCTGCTGAGCTATCGAACATCTATAGGAAAGTTTTACAGAAGGCACTGCTGTGTCCTGTCTGCATCAGTGGCTACAATTTGTAACCCTACTGTCCTTTCCACAGCTCAAGTAGTTTTCACAGTATATCCATCCTCACCTTCCTCAAAACTACAGTCTGGAACTAACTGGAGATGACACGTGCTTTGTGACATAGCAGTTATCCTGCTGGAATTAACAATTGGAAGATGGGTAGACTGTGGTCATAAAGGGACACAGTGGTCATCAACAATGCTGTGGTAGGATGTGTCATTTAAATGATGCCAAATTGACACTATGAAGCATAATGTGTATCAGGAAAACATTCCCCACCCCATTACTCCACCACCCAGCCTGAACTGTTGACACAGGACAGGATGGATCACTGAATTCATGTTGTTTACACCAAATTCTGACCCTACCATCTGAAAGTCGCAGCAAAAATCATGATTCATAAGACCAGGCAACATTTTTCCAATCTTCAGCTGTCCAGTTTTGGTGAGCCTGTGATCACTATAGCCTCATTTTTTTTCCCTTTCTTAGCTGACAAGAGTGGAATCTGGTGTGATGTGCTCCTGCTGTAGCCCATCCACTTCAAGGTTTGACATATTGTGCACTCAGAGATGCTCTTCAGCATACCACTGTTGTTACGCTTAGTTGAGTTACTGTCAGCTTGAACCAGTTAGATCATTCTCATCTCACCTCTTGTTAACAAGGTGCTTTTGCCCACAACTGCCACTCACTGGATGATTTGTTTTTTACATAATTCTCTTGAAACTTAGATTATTGTGCGTGAAAATTCCAGAAAATCAGCATTTTCAGACTACCCATTTGGCACTAACAGTCATTCCACTGTCAGTCACTTGGATCACATTTCTTCCTCATTCTGATCTTGACTGTCTTAATACTTTGAGATATTCAGGTGTTGTCACATAATTGGCTGATTGAATATTTGCATTAAAGAGCAGATGTACAGTTGTACCTAATAAAGCGGCCACCGAGTGTATATAAATAGCCATTCCAATACTAAAACACACTCTTCCAGGACTCTTATATTACACATGCCCTCCATTGCACTGTACATGGAAATAAGTCACTGTCTGACTTTTTTGGGTTATCCTAGGTTCTCTACACATATGCTGCTATGTATGATAATTCTATGTAACTGTATTTGTGTATACCTGAATAAACTTACTTACTTATATTAGAAGTGGTAAGAAGCAAGGTTGTGGGTGAAGCAAGTGGTATGACAAGGCAGGCAACAGGTCATGGAATGTATGCTACTCAGCTTCCTGCAACCTAACTCCTGTGTCCCTTCCCTCCCTCACAATACCCCCACCCCCACAATACACTCCTTCTCCACACTACATCCTTCTCCACACTACATCCTTCTCCACACTACATCCTTCTCCACACTACATCCTTCTCCACACTACATCCTTCTCCACACTACATCCTTCTCCACACTACATCCTTCTCCACACTACATCCTTCTCCACACTACATCCTTCACCACACTACGCCCTCCCCTACACTACGCCTTCCTCCACACTACGCCCTCCCACACTACGCCCTCCCCCACACTACGCCCTCCCCCACACTACGCCCTCCCCCACACTATGCCCTCCCCACACTATGCCCTCCCCCACACTATGCCCTCCCCCACACTACGCCCTCCCCCACACTACGCCCTCCCCCACACTACGCCCTCCCCCACACTACGCCCTCCCCACACTACGCCCTCCCCCACACTACGCCCTCCCCCACACTACGCCCTCCCCCACACTACGCCCTCCCCACACTACGCCCTCCCCACACTACGCCCTCCCCCACACTACGCCCTCCCCCACACTACGCCCTCCCCCACACTACGCCCTCCCCACACTACGCCCTCCCCCACACTACGCCCTCCCCACACTACGCCCTCCCCCACACTACGCCTCCCCCACACTACGCCCTCCCCCACACTACGCCCTCCCCCACACTACGCCCTCCCCCACACTACGCCCTCCCCCACACTACGCCCTCCCCCACACTACGCCCTCCCCCACACTACGCCCTCCCCCACACTACGCCCTCCCCCACACTACGCCCTCCCCCACACTACGCCCACCCCCACACTACGCCCTCCCCCCACACTACGCCCTCCCCCACACTACGCCCTCCCCCCACACTATGCCCTCCCCCCACACTATGCCCTCCCCCACACTATGCCCTCCCCCACACTATGCCCTCCCCCACACTATGCCCCATCCACCCCCACACTACACCCTCCCCAACACTACACCCTCCCCCACACTACACCCTCTGCTTCCATTTAGTAAGTTTATTCAAGTATACACAAATACATGTACATAGATTATCATATATAGCAGTATATGTGTAGAGAACCTAGGATAACCCAAAAATGTCAGTGACTTATTTCCATTAGGGTCCTTTGCTTGAGTGTTACACTCTTAGCCTAACATATTTCTCCAGACTTTTCTAGCAAGTTGAATTAAGCTCCACTTTTCGCTCTTCTGCCCTTGTTACCTTGTTTACAGTCAGTTTTCTTGTAAAGCTATTTTATTTAGTGGAATTTTTGCAAATGCAATTGAAAAAGTTCATCCAGAATTGAGTAGCACTTACTATAAAGGCCTCGTCTTGCACTGCTTAAATTTGGATGCACTTTTTCAATTGCATTTGTAAAAGTAGCACTATGTAGCATAGCTTTAGAAGAGAGCTTGTATTATCTTCATGTGTTATCAGTTGTGGTTATGATGTGTAGTATGTAGCTGTTGTTCAGATTGAAGTGTTATCAGGATAGCTCCTGTTTACTGTACTCATCCGATACACAAAATGTGTGCACTTGCACAAATGTGCATATAATAATGTATGTTAATAAACTATACATGAAGAAAATCCTTGTGTTTGTGAGATTATATGCTTCCAGAATTTATGTAATGTGCATATCATTAAGGGTACTGTGGAATTTTTTTGGGGAGGATAGGGGATTCCAAGACAGGTCTAGAGACATTAAGTGCAAATGTAGTACAGTATAGTGCTTTTTTTTATGATCAGTATGAATAAATTCTGCATGTTGGAGGAGTATTTTTATTTATTATTTTTTTATTTTATTATTTTTTTATTATCACACTGGCCGATTCCCACCAAGGCAGGGTGGCCCGAAAAAGAAAAACTTTCACCATCATTCACTCCATCACTGTCTTGCCAGAAGGGTGCTTTACACTACAGTTTTTAAACTGCAACATTAGCACCCCTCCTTCAGAGTGCAGGCACTGTACTTCCCATCTCCAGGACTCGAGTCCGGCCTGCCGGTTTCCCTGAATCCCTTCATAAATGTTACTTTGCTCACACTCCAACAGCACGTCAAGTATTAAAAACCATGTGTCTCCATTCACTCCTATCAAACACGCTCATGCATGCCTGCTGGAAGTCCAAGCCCCTCGCACACAAAACCACCTTTACCCCCTCCCTCCAACCTTTCCTAGGCCGACCCCTACCCCGCCTTCCTTCCACTACAGACTGATACACTCTTGAAGTCATTCTCTTTCGCTCCATTCTCTCTACATGTCCGAACCACCTCAACAACCCTTCCTCAGCCCTCTGGACAACAGTTTTGGTAATCCCGCACCTCCTCCTAACTTCCAAACTACGAATTCTCTGCATTATATTCACACCACACATTGCCCTCAGACATGACATCTCCACTGCCTCCAGCCTTCTCCCGCTGCAACATTCATCACCCACGCTTCACACCCATATAAGAGCGTTGGTAAAACTATACTCTCATACATTCCCCTTTTTGCCTCCAAGGACAATGTTCTTTGTCTCCACAGACTCCTAAGTGCACCACTCACTCTTTTTCCCTCATCAATTCTATGATTCACCTAATCTTTCATAGACCCATCCGCTGACACGTCCACTCCCAAATATCTGAATACGTTCACCTCCTCCATACTCTCTCCCTCCAATCTGATATCCAATCTTTCATCACCTAATCTTTTTGTTATCCTCATAACCTTACTCTTTCCTGTATTCACCTTTAATTTTCTTCTTTTGCACACCCTACCAAATTCATCCACCAATTCCAGTTAAATGACCCTCATTAAAGAAAGAAACTCGCACGAGTCTTCCACTGATGCAAGTTTGGGGAAGGAGAGAACCTTGCATACCCCCACTAAAATATCAACAAAATCAGTCCTAAAATCTCTTGGAAAATATGCTCGATAGATTTACCAGACCCTCATGCAATCTTTATTTTCAGTTTAGTAGAACAGTTTTTCATACTCCAAATCTTTAACTGCAAAAGAATCTTGTTGGAAATATAAAAAATGGATTTATAAAAGCCTGCAAACTTTCCTATGACTTATTTGTAAAGCCATTAGCTCTATTGGTAACCCTTTGAATGCCCAGCCCATAGAGATTTGGTAGAAAACAAAAAACTGATGGCCTCTAATTTTTTAGAAATGTTTACTGAAGTACCTGTAGCTTTCAGTGGGGCATTGCTCGAGGTATTGTTGTGGTCAAGAAATCTGCTTTATGTGCTTGGCAAA